AGCAGCAGGGGCACTCAGGCCCTGACACTGAACGAGCTCTACCCGTACGGCAGCCAGGATGAGGTGCTCAACAGGGAGGCGACTGATGTCTCCTCGCCGGAGATTGCCCTCACCGTGCCCATTGTCCTCTTCCAGGACACCTTTGGATCGGTGTACGTCAACGACAATGGACTGCTCTCCTTTATGACAGAGGTAAATGCAGTTGAGCAGAGATGAAACCAACTAAGTTAATATGTTTTTATGCATAGATATCCGCCTACTACAATCGCGAGTTTCCGCTCTTCTACCCGATCATTGCGCCCATGTACTCTGACGTGGACACCAGCAAAAATGGCCAGGGCACCATCTACTACCGAGAAACAAAGGAAGCGTCTCTACTTGACCGAGCCTCTATGGACGTCTTCAGGCACTTTTCCGGTGGAAAGAACTTCCGAGCGACCGGTCTCTTCATCGTCACCTGGTCAGATGTGCCGCCCATTGATGAGAAGCAGCATCATTTGGTAAGTGCTTTAATTCTCAGTTTCTTTTTGCATATTGACTTGCCTTTCTATCAACCCCAGCGCAACACAGTTCAAGTGGTGGTCGCCTCAAATGGCACTGAAAGCTACTGCTTCTTTCTCTACCCTGAGGCGGGCATTCAGTGGACTCAGGGCAAAAAGGACATCTCCAACGTGTACGCCTACACACAGGCGGGCTTTATGACTGGCGATGGCCGCTTCTACCAGCTACCGGGCTCAGGCACTGACCAGCTGAAGAACTTTCCCATGTAAGTGAGGCAGTGTGGAAGAGATCGTAGTTAACTACTAATCTCAAACTAATCTCCGTAGAATGAGCAACGTCAACCGCAAGGGTCTCTTTGCCTTTCACATCGGCAACACCGGTTCGGGGAACATCATCCTGCCGGACCGAGACTACGAACGCAGTCTGAAGAACATCGGCAGTCTGGAAACGTGCACCAGCACTGACTTTCCCTGTCTGCCCTCGGCCAACTGTATCGGTTTCAGCACAGGCATCTGCTGCGAGTGCCAGCGCGGCTACTTTGGCAATGGACGAAGCTGTTTGGTGCAGGGTTGGTTTCTCTGTTTTCTTTAGCATTAGCTTTTTTACTGACCAAACATTCTAATTACTACAAGACGAGGCACTGCGAGTGAACGGCAAGCTGAACGGCGTGGTGAACAGCCAGCGTCTGGAGGACGTCACAGTGTACGTGTACGTGGAGACGAAGGACGGCCGAGTGTACAGCGGCATCAATGGCGTCAACCCCGTTCTCGGTTTTGACCTGCAGACGGCCCTCGTGCCGCTCAGCTCCGTCATCAGCTGGCTCTTTGCGGCGCCCATCAACGGAGCGCCCAATGGCTTCACGCTGACCGGAGGACGGTTCAATCGAACGCTCAGTGTGGTCTACACGCAGACCGGCCATCAGGCGACGCTCATCGAGCAGTACCTCGGCCTGGACGTCTTCAACTTTCTGAACGTGAAGAGCGAACTGACCGGCAGTCTGCCCACCATTCCCACTGGCGACTCGGTCCAGGTGGAGGAGTACACGGTGGAGTTCACGCAGGTGGGCCCGGGCACGGTGAAGAGCCGCCTGAGCACTGCCTTCACCTTTGGCGAGAACTCCGTCAGCATGCCGATGATCATCGACCAGACGATCACCTTTGAGGGGTGTCCGCACCGGCCGATGAACAACACCGCCGCCATCACTCGACTGTCAGTGGGCGGCAATCACCTCACCTATGAGACGGCCAATCAGATTGCCAGATATGCGTCAGATGCGAAGATTTCATTTCTGTCGGGTAATTTTTGTTCAAGTTTGTGCAAATTTTTGTTTATCAAAAATCTTTTTGCAGACAATCCCTGCACTGACGTCCGCTGCGGTCCCAACAGCGTCTGCATCGTCGAGGGAACCAAACACCGGTGCGAGTGCTCTCGAGGATTTGAGCAGGTGTACGATGAGGCGGCGGCGGGTAGTGAGCCGGTCTGTGGTGACATTGACGAGTGCCGACGGAACGTCTGTCACCCCAATGCAGAGTGCTTCAATGAACCGGGAAGCTACCGGTGTCGCTGTGCGCCCGGCTACACCGGGGACGGCGTCTACTGTCAGAGTGGTAAGCAAAAAATGAATTTTTGTTAGCTTTTTATCAAAACTGACTCAGAGCTTTTTCTTTTGTGTCTCTTTAGTATCTGCCGTGGAGAACACCTGCAACAATATTCGCTGTCACGAGAATGGCGAGTGCATTCAGACGAGGAACATGGGCCCGAGGTGCATGTGCAGAAGTGAGTGATGGCTGACTGACAGTTTATAAAACTGCTTTTATCTAATTCAATTTTACACCCCTTCCCTCCTCTAGACGGCTACTACGGCGACGGCTACCAGTGCCAGGCGATGCCGGACGTGGAGGCCGCCCCCGCCGACGACTGTCGCAATCTGACGCTGTGCGACCTGAACGCCGAGTGTCGGCCGAATCGGCTGCAGGGCAAGTACGACTGCTTCTGCAAGGCCGGCTTCAGGGGCGACGGCATCGTCTGCACCGCCGAGGCGGAGTCCTGCGAGAAGCTGACCAACTGCGGCACCAACGCCGAGTGCATCAGCGATGAGTCGAGCAATCACGCCTACTACTGTGCCTGCAATCCGGGATACGTCGGCGACGGATACACCTGTATTGCGCAAAGTAAGTGACTGAGAAGGTTTGTGATGTGCGATACTTTTTATGCTAATTATTGTGCCTTCTCCAAAACAGTCAACTCCGATGACTGCTCCTATCTGAACAACTGCCACCGCAGTGCGCAGTGTCTGCAGGACGGGGCCAGCAACAGCTACGTTTGTCGGTGCAATCCGGGCTTCATCGGAGACGGCTACCGCTGTCGGGAGGAGCCCAGTGTGGCACGAGTGCCAGGTAAGTCTTACTTTTTTGCGACAACTATTGATCATTAAACCTTCTCTTCTGTTTCACTAGACTACGCCCGCGAGAACTTGGGCTGCAACGGCCCGGAAGGCTGTTCGCCGCACGCCGACTGCGTGACAATGCCCGCCGACTCTGCGGTGCTGCGCAATGAGTGTCGCTGTAGGGCGGGCTACATCGGCGATGGAGTGCTCTGCACTGCCATTAGTATGTCTGATTATCTTGAATAAATGTAGTACTAATCCTAATCTCCCCATTTTCGCAGGTGAATGCGACCCTAACAGCGAGAACCAGTGCCAACGAAATGCCGTCTGCCTGTACAGTGACATCAGTCGGCGACACGAGTGCCAGTGCAGCATGGGTCAGTCTTCACAAAATCTAATTCTATTGTTTAGAAAATAACTTTTTACATTTTGGCTGCAGGCTACACCGCCGACCGAAATGGCCGCTGTCAGGTGGCCACCTCTGCTTCATCATCTTCCACCTCAAACGTCCTCGACCTGAGCTGCAGCGTCTCCGGCGACTGTCACTCGAATGCCACCTGTCGCACCGACCCTGACTCGCTGGCCCTGCACTGTCAGTGCAATGTGGGCTTTGAGGGGGACGGAAAGCGGCAATGTCGCCGCCTGCAGTCCTGCCAGCTGCACAACACCTGCGACGTGAAGGCGAGCTGCGTGCTGGACCGACGGACGGACAGCTACCGGTGCGAGTGCAACGCTGGCTTTGCCGGCGATGGTCACCGCTGTCGGCCGATTCGCTCCTGCGGCGAAGACCGGACGATTTGCGACCGCCATGCGGACTGCCAGTACAGCTACCTCCAGCGGGAGTACGCTTGCAGCTGTCAGCTGGGCTTCATCGGCGACGGGTACACCTGCACGCCGGTGCCGGCCAGGTCAAGGGGAGATGGTGGTGCTGAAGAGGGAGAGTATCTGCTGCTCGCTCAGGGGGCGACCATTCTGCGAATGGCACTGCCGGAGAGCACTCGACGACCGGTGGGCGGACGGCCAGCAGCAGCAGCACCGGCCGAGTCCTCGCTGACCTCGCTCACCTCCGCTGGCTACCCGCTGATCACCAAGTCCCGGCAGATCATCGTCGGCCTGGACGTGGACTGCCTGCAGGGCAGCCTCTATTGGGGCGACGTCGCCACCGGGGTCATCTACCAGTCGCTGGGCAACGGCTCCCAGGCGGAGGCCGTCTCCAGCATGGTCACCAGCTCGGACACCATTCAGCCGGCGCCGGAGGGCGTCGCCGTCGACTGGGTCAGCCGCAACCTCTACTGGACCGACTCGAGACGGCGCACCGTGGAGGTGTCCAATCTGGATGGGAACAACGCCAAGGTGGTCGTCAAGGAGGGACTGGTCAGCCCCCGGGGCATCGCCCTCCACCCCGGCAGTGGCAAGCTCTTCTGGTCGGACTGGTCGCGCGACGCCCCGAAGATCGAGTCTGCTAACCTGGACGGCAGCGGCCGCGTGGTGCTGCTCAACAAGGACCTGAAGCTGCCCAATAACCTGGTGGTGGACTACGAGCACAATGACCTGTGCTGGACAGACGCCGGCACGCACCGCATCGAGTGCCTCAACCTCTACACCAGCAGTCGGAGGGTGGTCACCCTCACGGCGGCCTATCCCTTCGACCTGGCCATCGTCGGCAGTAACATCTTCTGGACTGGTAAACACTTTTGCGTGTAAAATTTTTTTTTCTTAAAACTTTCTTCTCTTTTTTTGCAGACTGGGACACCAAGGCCGTCCACCAGATTGACCGCAACGGCGGCGTCGCTGTCAAGTTGGACGTGCCTCGCGGCGGCCACGGCCGCCTCTACGGACTGGTCGCCGTCCCCCGGCAGTGCCCCCGACTGACCAACGCCTGTGCAGTGTCCAACGGCGGCTGCAAGCACCTCTGTCTGCCAAACGGGCCCCACGGTGGGCGGACCTGTGCCTGTCCGGATCATGGCTACGATGAGAATGACTACTGTAATGACATGTAGAAGAAGTAGAAGTAGAAAGAGTTGTGCGAGTACTCTTTTCTTTGACGATGATTTGTAGTTGGTGTATCACACCAAGCTGTACACGACTGAAGCCATTAAATATATAAAAGGTGTTATTTGCGACCGATTTTGCCCAGCTTTGTGTCCGTTTTAGGGTTGGCCGTCAGCGACTGCACCTGAACGATCATGCCGTTGATGGCGGTCTGCAGCTGACGCAGGTCGTTGATGTACAGCAGACGAAGCACATTGGCGGCTCGGTTCATCGGCGGGTCGTATTTGGAGGTTTTGCTGAACGGCTCCGCCAACTTGCTGTCGTCGGTTTTGAAGCTGAGCTTTTTCTTTTTAGAGCCATCGTCACTGCTGGTTTCACTGGTGCTGGGGCTCCTGGTGTCCCTCTTCAGACGCCGTAAGAGGATGGAAATTGCACGTAATGTGACCAGCGGCTCCTCCTGGTAAAAGGGCACGTCTAGCAGAGCGGAGAGTTCACGAAGTCCATCAATGAAGGGCGCAGAGTTGACGTCAATTTGCGTCAGATTAGCGGCGCTGGTGTTCACTTTGGCGAGATCGCTGATTTCCTTTTTGGAGAGATTCAGTTGAGATCCTGTTGTAAAAAACAAGTCAAAGCTTTGAAGTTTGAAACACAAGTTGCCATGCTTACGTGTATCTTCCATTTGGTATTGCAAAGCAAGGTTAAGCAGAAAGTCGACCACCTTCTTTCGGTCATCGGTAGCCGTTCCTTGATAGCCGATTTCTTTCAAATACTACAAAAAAACAAAGGATTACAAGAGATCGAGAATCGTATGTGCGGTAAACAAACATTTTCCAGTCCTGAATTCCAGTTGGCAGCTCCCACTTCCAGATTATCTCGATCTTCCGGCGCGTAGAAGCGAATTTTGGTGTTCTCCATCCAGAAAATGAGCTTCTGAAAGTCTGTGTCATCTGCGAGAAAATGTAAACATTCGACAACGTGACATCTTTTAAAAGTAAACGATCATCGCTTACTTTCAATGTTAAACGGTTGTTCATACTGGAGGGCGTTTAGTTTTCTTGTGAACATCTTGAATTGGGTGAGAAAGCAGAAGATACAACTAGAAACTTCAAAAAGAACAAAAGAACGCTGAAGAACTGATTTGTTTGGAAAAAATGAAAACAAAAAATGTGTTCCCCGAAAGTTTTCCGGTGACTGCTTCAGCAACTTTCTCACGATTTTCGCATGTTTTGCGAAATGTCTGCTCCTGATAAATGGTTCATTTTTCTCAATCTCTAATCTTTTGTTTTCTTTTCTTTTTTTCAGAACACGCACTTACATACAAATCTTTTTGTTTTTAAACATAAATGGCGATGTTTTGTGTTTGGATTGACTCTGGTTTCCTGTCCTCGTCGTCGTCGTCGTTGTCGCCGTCTAATCCCGGGATGTTGGTCCATCATTCGATTGGGCTCTTGAAGACAGCCTTTTTGCCTTTTTGTCGGATGCTTTGTCGATTGCTGGACGCGCTCTGCCTCAATTGATGCGATCTTTCACGATGTTCATTTAAAAGGATGAGATGTCGCTTAAGGATGTGATCATCACTTTGCCTCTGCAACAAACGACAGCAGTCAAACGGCAGCAGGGCGGTAAGTCGAAACACAGTTTTGCTTTCTTCTTTCTCGTCCTTTTCTTCTTCTTCTTCTTCTTCTTCTTTCACAGCAAATCGATTTCAGTTTAGGGCAAGTGCATTCTTTGTAAATGAATTGGAAAGATGCTATTTTAGCGGAGCGCTGTGTGTGTCTTCTGCGTGTTTGGATTAGTGTGACGCCTTGGCAGCGAATTCTCGGACTCTGGCCCATCATTCTCGCCCATCAAAAAGTGGTCACCACCTCTGTTGGTGTCCCTCTTCCTTTCCTTCACTGTTTGAGTGACTGTTTTTTGCTGCTGTCTTTACTTTTCTCGTCTTCAGTTTCTGTGTCCAGTCACTCGGGCAATCGCCTTTCTCGCCTTTCCTTGTGTCGGCTTCTGAGTACCAGAAAGAGTGTGTGTGTATGTGTGTGTGTTTGTACGAGTGGTGAAATTGTTTGAGTTTTAAACTTTTTGCCAATGGCCCATTGGCCTGAGATGCTGCTGCTGCTGTTGCTGCAGCTTGGAGACATTCCCACTTTTGCTCCTTGCTTCCGTTCAGTACTGTTTAGCGTCTCACACTGTGTGTGAAGAATGGAGCCAGAGAAGCGCGCGGCGATAATCGGCACGCCGTGCGAGGATATGAAAAGGCCTCACTCTCTCTCTCTCTCTCTCTCTCTCACTCGATTATGGCCATAATCATAATCATAAATGTTCGCTTCGCTCTCTGCCTTTCCTCTGCAGTGCACTCCTTATTCGTTTTGACATTTTCGCGCTTCGACACAAATCGCATTAAGTCGCCCGTCTGAAGCACATAGTCAGCTCTGCAGTCAGCCACCACCACTCTCTCCACTGGCCACTGGTTCTGCTTCTCATTCTCTCTGCAAGAAGGCTCACTCATTCTCTTTCAGTCCGGGTTCTATCAAGAGCTCGAGCCTTCGAGCTTATTGCCCACGCCAAATTGTCGCCGCTGCAGACGCCGCCGTCTTCGTCTTTGCTGCTTCTGTTTGAGTCGCCCGTTATCCCCAATTTGCTGCCGTCGCTGTTCGGTCGGTCATCAGCACCAGCAAAAGCAGCAGCAGCAGTCTCTTTAAATTCGGTCTCGCTTTCAGCCAAGTTGAGAAAGAGAGTGTTTAAAACTGCTCTTAAAAATGAGAGGGCACAGTGATATCACATAATAGATTTAATTCGACGCTTGATTTTTAGTAGCTGCTGCTGCTAGTGTGTGCTAATTGACTTTCTTGTAAGTCATTAATTCTCCTCTAAGACGGGCCCATTTTTGACAATGCTTACCAAACACACACACACTGGTGCAATGCAGGCTGCACGATTGGGGTCGATGTCAAATTCACAACTGTGTCCTCGGCCATCTACTCCTCCTCCTTCCATATTTTTGCGACCATATTTTTGGATTGCCAGATCTACTGCTGCTGCTGCTGTTGCCTGCCACTAGTCTTTATGGTCATCGTTAATTTTAGTATCATTCCATCAAATGAATGGTTTGTGCGCAAACACTGAGAAAGCACACACATACACACAGCATTGCCCAGTCGCTTGCTTCAGTGAGAAGGCAGCTCCAAAACGATCCTCGCAGCTCCTCAAATGTGCAGATGTAATGTGGGTAATGTCTTTGTCGATGGCTAGCGCGGCTGGCCATGCACCATCACAGACTGTTGCAGCAGCAGCAGCGGCATCTTCGCTGATGCGGCAACATTGTGTGTTAGATCTACTGAATATTTGCGCCATTTTCATTTTCCATCTTCATCATTTTCAAAGCCTGCAAAGCATCGGCGCTAACTCTCCCTCTCCCCCTCTTTGTCTTCCTCCCCACTCTTTAGAACGCATGGGCTGCAAACTGTAATGATGGCCACTAACTCTCTCTCTCTCACCTCTGATCGTGCCACTGGCGACTCCGCGTCTACTTTGTCCACAGAGTGGGCTGCTGCTTTCGAGGCCACTGCTGCTGAACAGTTGGCTGTCTGTGACAGACGAGAGAGGATGAGAGGCACAGGGCTCTAGGCAAGAGAGGAAGAAGGAGACAGACAGGCAGCTAACCCAAACTGCTTACTCAAACTTCATCTTCATCTCAAACTGGTTCACTTTTTCTGTTTCTTCTTCTTTAGCTTTTGATTTAGTGCCCGGCCAATTAAAGGCAACGGGCCACTTTTCTATCCCTCTTCCCCTCTCTCTCAAAGCCAACTTTTCCTTCTATTTTTTGTTGCTTTTGCACTTACTGCTGGTCTACCCGTCAACCTCTTCTGCTCAGAGCAGTGTTGTAGTCAGTGCAGGCGATTAAGTGTGGCCACTGGTACTGTGTTTTGGCTGTGAGCGTGTGTGTTGTCTGTTGGTCACTGTTGTTGTGTCACTGATCAAATGGAATAATTAATACTAAATTGCATTGCAGCCTGCCATTGGTAGTAGTGGCCAGTGAGCACACAGGCACAGCATCAGCAGCAGCACTTGACCCTGGCCAACGGCTATGGACGCCGGCCGCCGGCGTCAGGCGCTGCACTTTCGCCATTCTTTCTTTTGCTTTCGTTTTCTATCTTCGATAAATTATTCCTATGCTAGCGGACCGTTTAATTGAGTGGTCCGTGGCCGTCCAGTCTTTTTCGTAGTCGTCGCCGCCACCACCACCATCGTTTGCCAGAGAAGGAAAAACAATTTATTTGCGCACTTTGCATCACTTTGTTCTCTCTTTGGTTGGGGCAGCTTTTTTGGCGCCTTTTGGGCAGCTCTTTTTTCTCTTTCTCTCTCTTCACTGTAGATGGACAGGCATAGTTAATTGTCTGAGCCGATTTATCTTTTCTCATTCGAAGATTCGGGCCTATTCCTTCGTTCGGTCTTTCTTTCTTCTCGAACTTTTCTTCTTTCCCCTGGTGCAAGCAAATTGAACGACTTACCCACTGAAAAGCTGCTGTACTGACGACGATGGCCCACTGCAGACTTTGTTTATGCGCACTGGCAATATTATCTCCAGCATTTCGATATAACCGACTCAAAAAGGGTCGCAGCGTTTTCGTTTACTTTTCTTATTTTTTGTATTTTTAGAATTTGGTTTTTGCTGATGCTTCATTTGCTAATTTGACTGCCCTCCTTGCTCTGACTACTACTACTGCTTCAGCAACTCAGACCGATGACTTCCTCTTTGGTCAGCTTAAAGATGTATGGCTGAGTGGGGCAGATCAGTGCGTAAAGAGAAAACGGGGGGGGGGGAAAGCAAAAGGAGGCAGCTCAAATCGACGCCGTTAAGGAGAATGAGGGAGAGAGACAGCAAATATTTGAATTATTTATTCGTTCTCAAATTATTTATCTTTTTGTTGACTTCAGTTTCTGCTTCGATTTTTACCCTGTCGGTCTGTCTCTGTCTGCCTGTGTGAGAAAGAGTGGGCGAGAGTGTTTGCATCTCGGCGGCACTGACACTGGCACGGCCAGCCAGGCTCAATCGAGCGCTTTCTCGGAGACCCACGTCTTGCACACACACAGGCACAGGCACACTTTGCTGACCACTGTCTATCTTTCTCCCTGCCTGTCTGCTCTTTTATTAACTTTCACAAACACTATCGACATTCGAAACTGTCGGCTGTGTGTTGGCCATTTGTTTGATTGTCCTCATGTGTGCTGCAGAGAGCGAGCGAAAGAGCGAGAGTGCGAGGTTTCACTGACTGACTGAAGATCTGTGGTCTCTTGGCGCCCTCCGCTCACTCTCACTCCCTCATCGGCCTCAACCTCTTCTTCCTCTTGCTTTTGCCTTTTTCCCTGCTGCTGGTCACTGGGCGCTCGTTGGCGCTCGACCTAATAAATAGCCCTCCGCGTCCTCTCTCCAGTGATGATAATGATGATAAGAATCGCAATTTTAAGCGTTTTTGATCTCAATTTAATGCAGTGCCAAGTGATGATGAGGGCTGCCAATCTGACCGCAACCAGCAACCACAGACTTTCTGATATCACATATTATCTCGATAGTTCGGGACTGTTTGGACCAAGCACCGCACTTCTGCTGACCATCAAACATCAGCAGCAGCTACTCGTTCAGCGCAAACTAGTAGTGTGAAAAACTTTTTTAAATGAAATACGATAGCATTTGAGAGCTTCGTTTGCAGCGAAAAGCTTTCTTGCTGGCGTCTGAATCTTAGTTTTAAAAAATGTGCGTCTAGCCAGTCAAAAAAGTAAATTGAATTTACCGAATCGATTCAATGAAATGTGATGATACTGCTGTGTGAGAATGAGTTTGTGTGATGGCATCTTGTCGCGCGGCGGCGGCGGCTGCGGCTTTGCAGCTGTGCTCGCTTTTTCCTTCTTTTCCCCGAATTCAACTGATTCGCTCGCCTTGCAACCAGACAGCAGCAGCAGCAGAAACAGCAGCTCAATCTGTACAATGTGCTCTGGTGCCGCCGCCGCCGACTTGTCGATAAATAAAATTAGGCTCTTTTTCTCCCTCTCCTTCTGATTGGCATCAGAAG